GGGATAATCCCCTAACATTGACTATCTGAAATTGGAGAACATAAAAGGAAGACAGAGCACGTTGGAAGAAATTGTGGAATCCAGGCCTCCTTCACAGCTTAGTTATGGGCAAACAATCTGGAGCCAATATAGACTATTTCACTGTCCCTGGAATCATTGGGAAGGAACCAAACATTCCCTTTTCTCCTGTAGCTGCTCATCTTTCTTCATCGGAAGTATTTTATGGAATATTTTCATGAAAGGTCAGAATCAAGGTGCCCTGACTTTTCACCCTCAACCTGTTTCTTCTTCCTGGTTCCTTCCATTTCTCCTCTTCTTTTCCAAACATTTTTGTGGAAATAAATATTGCATGCCTGAATAATGGGCCTTGATCCGCTGTGCAATAGCCATTATTATTCTCTTTGTTATCCTCACGAGCATAAAATCCTATGTAGGTATTCTAGGAGTGTGGAAATACTCAGCCAAATTTAGAGGGGTATAGATTTCACATCAAAGTCAAAGAGAGTATATACTGAAGCAAGAATTTATGCAGTGCTGGTGTAAGGCATCCAGCTGGAAATTGTGAAAACAGGAGTTTTAGTCTGGTCTTAGGTACAAAGCCAGCTGGGTGACCTTGGACCATTCACTCTCTCTCAACCCTAGGAAAGAGGCAATGGCAAACTTCTTCTAAAAATCTTGCCATGAACAATGCAGGACTTGTCCAGTTTCCTAGAATCGCACATTATTGTACAGAGGGGGAAAATGTATCCATGCATGCAAATTAAAATACGTGTTCTAAAAAATTTAGACTGCAACAAAAGGGTTGACCTGTATCAATTATAAATCAAATCAGTAATCTTCTCTTTATTGGCCAGAGTACTAAATAGGAAGCTTTCCTAGATGTCAGAATAGTTGTCTATCTCAACAAGAATTGTGAACTCCAGCTTTCTCCGTTTGGTTTTGAGACATTTTGCTGCCAGGGGTAGAAAAATCAGCCCTGTCAAAGTCAAGAGTACCCAGGCTAGACAAATTATTCTAAATAAACGAATATCTCCTTTTAGTCAAGCTTAGCTAACTCCTTTGTGAAGATGTGGGCTTCCTGGCAAAAATATAGAAATGATTTTCCCTTGCTTTTTCTCTGGGATAATTTTTCAATTTCTTGATATCATTTACAGTCCTGTGGTTGCTTAGCAGTTTTCTATTCAAGTGCTGACCAAGTCCAACTTTAGCTGCCAAGCTTATATAAGTGCTATCCCTGCTATGTAGACTAAAATTTGGAGTCCTGTAATACAAATTCTCCTGAGCACCGAACTTTTCTGATCTTGGCAGTAAAATATAGTAATATAAACCACCACCATCATTGTGATTGTCATTGTGCCATATCCATCATCGGATATTGGCGATCAAGTTGGCAATCCTATTTTTATCAACAGCCACACAAAAAAGTCCTGTTGAGTTTTGTCCAAACCAGTCTCTTAGATTTGGAAGCCACAATGTTCTTCTTCGGCCTGGACCTTGTTTGCTTCCAGTCTTTCCCAGGAGGATTAAGTGAAGTGTGCCATATTTTTCCGGATGTCCCATCACATGTCCAAAATATTCTAATTTTTGCTTTTTAATGGTTTTGATAATTTCCCTTGGCTTTCCCAGGCGGCTGATCACCTCCCCATTTCTGATTTTGTCAACCCAGATTATATGTAACAGATGCCTGTAAACCCACATTTCAAATGCTTCTAGTCTCTTCAAGTGGATTTCTGTCAAGAGACTCTCTACTCCATAGAGCAGGTTAGAAAAGATGTAACTCCGGACATGCCTGATTTTCAATCTTAGGCTTATGTCGTGACTGCAGAAGGCCTGCAGAAGATCATCTGTAATGGTGACTAACTGGTTGTTCTCTCCTATTTTCCTCACAATAACAATCCTATGAGGTGGATGGACTGAGAATGGCTGGCCCAAAGTCAGCCAGTTGGTTCTTGATATTTCATAGCCACCTGTGATGGAATATTTGGGACAAGTTAGTAAGCAACCCTGTGATTAATTAGAGCTAAAAGTGCTTGGACTGAGATACTGAACCTTAACAGCAAAAAGCAGCATAAAGTAATCCATTATAAAACTCTTTGATCTGGCTTAGAGAACATCCATCAAGAGCTGGGATGCTACAAGATCTCCTGCCTTAAGAAGGGGGTTGGATTGGAAGACCTCAAAAGGTCTTAAATCCAACTCCTCATGAATTCCATTGACCCTTCTCTAGTGACAATTTACTCTGAACATTAGCTAACTAGATTCTTCTGTGTAGGTTTGAGCTATGCTGGCTGAGGAATTCTGGGAGTTGAAGTCCGCATAAATTTGCCAAGTTTGGAGACCTCTGGCTTGAGCAATAAATCTTAACTGCAACTTAATGTACGGCCGTGATTCCTTGTGCCTCATATTACCAGTATTATTGTAGCCCCTCCCCAACTTCTACAACGTTCCTAGTTCTTGCAATTTGTTTTCACAGAATTTAGTTTCTTCAGTGGTGGGATTCAATTTTTTTTACTACTGGTTCTGTGGGCGTGGCATGGTGGGCGTGGCAGGGGAAGGATACTGTAAAATCTCCATTCCCACCCCACTCCTGGGGGAAGGTTACTGCAAAATCCCCATTCCCTTCCCACCCCACTAACCTCCTTTCCAGCTCCGTTCTCCTGTGCAGGGCAACCAAAGAAGACCCAGCCAATCAGCTGGGACTTGATGGGAGGCAGAGAATAGATGGGGGAGGGGCCAGTCAGAGGTGGTATTTGCTGATTCTCCGAACTACTCAAAATTTCAGCTATCGGTTCTCCAGAACTGGTCAGAACCTGCTGAATACCACCTCTGAGTTTCTTGATCTCTCATGCTTGTTGCCCTTTCCTAAATCGTAAATTGTACCCATATGTCCTTGAAATCTATTTCCCAAACCTGGCTCAGTATGTAAGGTAAGGTGCAAAACACATTTGGAACACGGACTTTCTTAGATTTAAGAGAGCTTATGTTTCTTCTAAAAAGCTGTCTTCAACCTGGAGATGGAATTTAGCAGCCAATATCCTTAGTTAACATGTCGTAACCAATTATATGAAACCAAGTTTGAGATTTTAGGACAAAGCCATCAATTGAGGGTCCTCAATTATTTTATTCAAAATTCTCTTCCTGTCTCCTCTTATATAAGCTGCTGCATAAATCTCAGGATGGAAAAATTTAATCGTATCATACAATTCCCCTTGCCCCATACATTGTATGTTCAAATACGAAAGGAATTTTTTAAAATCTCCTTTGCAGTATAAAATACAAAGTTTGGACAGTACATTTTTATTCCACATGTGTATAAATATAACCCAAAGAATATGATTTTAGTATTCCTACCAAAATATTACATTTTTTTGTACAAAAGTTTACAAAACCTTTTTCTCTATATTTACAGCCCAATATTGAAAAGAACTCCCGATCCAATAATGCAAAAGATAAGCGTAGTGCATTTAACTGTAATGGTAAAAAGAAGATACATAGTGATAACAAGATGCAGGGTATTTTTTTTTTCTTGTTTTAAAATTAAAATATTCCCACCTTTTTTTCAGCGTTGGGTCACAAAGGTACAACCTTAAGGTGAAGTGTTCAAAGGCATGGGATTTTAAAATAAACAGAGGTTGCACAACGATATGTCTCTTTTACAACTTTGGTTTATGGAACTTCAGATAATTGGGAATTGTAAGATTTTATAGATCCAATGGCCAGGAACATGCAAGCTGCTCATTATTTCAATTTTCCCACAGTGGTATGCTTCAGATGTATTAGCACTGAAATTTGCAAAATTATTGTTGCAAATATGTTGGCTAGAAAATGTTTGTAGACTCAATCCATCTGTGGAGAGTATAAGATCGGGACGCCTGCAGATTCCCAACAGTGTCCTGAGTGAACTTTATACAGGGCAACATAGAGAATCCAAGATGACAAGAAAAACACCACCTTCCATTCCAAAATGTATTATCCCTGCTTGCCACTGTCAGGAGAATTCAAGGGAAGAACTTAGATCTCACTTAATATTGTGCTGTTTATGAACAAAAAGGAATATCTATTTTTTTTAAAAAAATACCTTGAATTTGAACAATGAACTGCTTAAACAGCTATAGTGGTGATTGGCTGGTTGCAATGTGTGCTCAAATAATTAAAACATGTTTGATGGATGTACCATAAGATATCCTTTGAGCCCATAATGTATGTGTGATGTTTGCAGGGATCCCTGCCTCACAGATCCTCATTCTTATTATGTTACTGACATGTAAGATAAAACTGGATTGTTTCGATATAATCTGCATTCTGGGATGCATTAGCATCCCAAATTCAATCCCGTCTCCAATATCTAATTAAAAGGATAAAGAGAAGGGAAGAAGAAACCAACTAGGAGGTGTGAACGCTATAGGAAAGATGTCATGCCCGTCGGAATCTGATTCTGAGGGGGAGGCCAAGCAGCTGACAGGGAGTGGGAGTGTGGCTCCCTTGGCTGTGGAAGAAACTGGGGAAGGGCAAAGTCCAGCTGGGCAGAGCAGGGGAGAGGTAGAGCAAGGCAGAGGGAATTTAGAGGAAGATCCAGGGCCACCCTCTCTTCATCCTAGGGCACGCAGGGAGGAACGGAGAAGGGAGCAATGTGAGTTGCATGGCTTATGGGGGAGGAAAGGGCCCCGATTCCCTTCATTAGCTCCAGCTGGGAGCAGAGTGTTTAAAAAGGGAGGTTGTGCACAGCAACTTGTTGGAAGCAAATCGTGAGTTATCTTTTATGGTCGAGGCTTATCTGGGTTCCTAACGTCTTCCCAACTGTGTGTGTTTTGTTGGCCTTTGAAGTCTGCAATTCTTATCCTGCCCTGTCCAGTTAATTGCTGCAGTGTGGTTTGTCTGGATTTTTATTTACAGTTTATATGTACTTTGTTTTCGGACTGAATTTCCTCCACTTAAAGACTATTCTTGGGAGTGTTTTTTCTCCAGCCGAAGGTAAATGGGCAAAGTTGGAGGTATTAAAGGGACTTTTCTTACTTATGTGACTGTGTTGCCTTTGTGACAAGACCTGGGTCATCACAGAATGAGGAGGAAGCTTATGAAATTGTAACAGGCTGGAGAAGCTGGTTATTTCTATTTGAAACTTCAAGACAGATCTTGAATAGAAAGTTTCTAATTCTCTTGAGTTTGGTACTCCATATTCTCCCATAAGGAGGGATATTAGGAAGGAAAGTGGGTAAGGAAGCCACTTACGGGGCAAATTATCTGTTTACAGCCTTGTTTATCCCACCTAATTTTGTAGATTTATTTCCAGGAAAGTGGGCAGAAAACTACTGTTTTAAGAAGCATTAGGAACTTTAGAGATTTAGGAAGCTGCCATGTGCGCCAAGGACCTTCAGGATTTGGGGACCACTCTTTTTCTTCCCACACTAAATAGCTTATGGAACCAGGGATGTTTGATATGCATATACGGGTTCTATCAATAAACTTATCTTTCATGGCACCTGGATTCCCTCTATGAAGTGTTAATCTGCATCCCTAAGTTTGATGTACTCCAGATGTTCTGTATTACAATTCTCACGATGTAATGTTTTATTCTCAGTGAATGAAAACGATAAGGATTCTAATAAAACCTATTAGAATGTGCAACGTTAAGGGAAGACGTTTGCTAAAGCTTTCTGAGTTGGGTGTTGTTGTTTTCTGTTTATTTTTCCTCCAGCCAGATTTCTATTTGTATACACATACACACGGATACACAAGAGAATCATTAGTGGATGTCAGCAGTATATTTTTGATGCAGTGCATTTTCCTGGGTCTCCCCTTTGTGTAATAGATGTAAATATTAGCTTACATATCTAGGATTTATTTAGATGATGACCAGCCACTTCTCCGAGTTCCTTCATCATTCAGAACCACTGTGTTTGGAAGCTACGGATCCAGACTTCACCAGCATTAGCATACTTGATAATGGAACAAGCTATGTCTAAGCATGGTTGCATTTATATATATATTTTAAAGGTTGGATCCAGCAACCCACTGTTTTGCTTCCCTCCCTCCTCCCCTAACTTTTGTCTTCTACAAACTGAAGACTGATATCCTGACTTTTCAGTCTTAAAAAAAAAACACCAGGAGTGCCTCACTGTTAGCTGCCTCAGGAATGGCCTCCTAATATCTCATCAAGGTTGATGTCTTTCATCCAATCATCATTGCTGGGCTCTGTTTTCAACAAAGAGTCAATGAAGTCTGGGTCGCTATTGAGCGCCGGCCCAATGTTATCCGCTTGCTGGCTCAGAAAATCAAACGCCAGATCATTGGAGTGATCTGTTCCTTGAAAAGCCCGGGTGGACATTTGGGTAGCATTCGATGAAAACTGGTTCGAGGACAAGGGGTGGGGTTGTGTCATCCCCACCCTGGGTGGATTTAAGTGGGCCACAACCTCTGCCTGCAACTGAGGAGGCATCGCACTCTGGGGCTTGGGTGGCCCACCCACTTGTCCATTCAGACTTTGGTTCATTTGGCTCATCGGGGATCTCATCTGGAGGGCGCTCAGTTGGTTAGGAGGCACCATGGCCCGCTGAGGAAACTGCTGTAGGGCAGCGGTGCGCTGTAGTGGCGGATTTGTATAGGAGCTTCCAGATGAGAACGGGGACCCCGAAGCCCTCTGTGTTTCCGGTTGCTTCAATCCGGCTTCTGAAGAAACCCAGTTCTGAGCTGCAGCGTTTGAATTGACCATCACGTTTGAAGGTCTTTGTGATGCTGAAGTCCCCTGGTTCAAGCTGAGCTTCCCTTGCTGGGAGTTAACTCCCAAGCCATTGTCAAAGGTCGGCATGTTGTTGCCTTGCCCAGGTGGCGCTGGCCGAGACGCTGCGGGGTTGTTTTGACTGGTGACAATTGGGTTTAGATTTCTATGCTGTGCAACCTGGCTCACTGCTGAGGGTGGCACATTATATGCATTTGCTTGACTGCAGGGAATATTCCCGTAGCAGCTGGCGTGGTGGCCTGCTGGAAGAGAAGGCATTCTGGTGCCATGAGTCGTGGACAAGAGATTTGATTGCTGTGACAAAATGTTAGAAGTGGAAATGGGACTGGAGAAACATAGGTTGGAGTTGATGGTCACAGCCGGTGATCCACCTAGGAGAAGAACAAAGACATAAAAATCCACCCTCCATCATCAGGCCTAAACAAGACTCAGAAACCAAGGTACCCAATAGGACCAGTTACTTCTCTGGCTATTTTCTTATCTCTCACTCAACACAATGATCCTACTAGAGAAAATGAAGCATATTCTACAGCAGTGGTGGCTAACCTTTTGGGAATCCTGTGCCAAAAATTGTGTGTGCACTGGCGCTCGCGCGTTTGTGTGCCAGCATCCAGGAGCCAATGTGCACCCCCGCCCCCTGCACATGTGCGCGCAACCCCCCCACCATCCCCTTACCTGTACTGCACACCTCACAGCTGATTTTCAGCTGGTTTGAGGCCTTTTTCGGCCTCCCAGAGGCTTGAAAAAAGCCTCTGCAGGCCGAATAGGTCTGTTTAGTCACTTCCGGTATTACAGGAAGTGACGAAACAGGCCTATTCGGCCTGCAGAAGCTTTTTTCAAGCCTCTGGGAGGTCGAAAAAGGCCTCAAACCAGCTGAAAATCAGCTGTGAGTTGCGTGCATGCACAGTGTGGTAAGTTTGCCTGGGGCCCGCATGCTGGTACAAATGGCTCCGTGTGCCACCTGTGGCACATGTGCCAGAGGTTCGCCATCACGGTTCTACAGTAATGCCAAGGACACTATCTAACCATTTCATCCTCTGCTGCCTCTTTCTCCTTTTGCCTTCTAACTTTCCCAATACCAGGAGGTCTTTTCCTGTGAATCCTCTCTTCTCATTTAGTGGCCAAAGTATTTGAGCTTCAGCTTCAGTACTTGTCCTTCCAAAGAACAGTCAGGATTGATTTCCTTAAGGATTGACTTATTTGATCCAAGGGACTCACAAGATACAACAAAAGACAATATTGTGTACAACCCGATAGACTAAGCTAAAATGGGGTTGGCTATTTTATGTTTCAGAATTTTTGGAAACCCAGCAGATTGTGTGAAGTCAGCCATTATATTAAACCACGATTTGATCTACTGCGGAATAGCATGTTATGTGAATATTTATTCACTTATATTTAGGAACGAGTGCAGTGAACGAACCCAGCCGATGAGTCAAAGAAATGACAGTGAGTCTTCTATTGTTCCATGACTCTTAGTAAACTGAGAGCAAGCTTGATCACAAACCAGGCTTAGTTAAGTGACCAAACTGTCAAACTCCTCCTGACTGAATTATGGAGGCACTTATTTTAATGTGTTGAATTTTAAAGAGAAGGCACTCTGACTGTGGATACAATATTATGATTGAAAGATGAGCTACTAGTAGTTCATAGAGCTTGCTATTCTGGCAGCCAGCCTTATGGGAAAGGTAAAAATTAGCAAGAAGAGGAAACAATTGTTCTTTGGTTAAACACAATACATAAGTAAATAAGCATTTCCTTTGACTCTGATATGCAAGAGGAATTAAAACATGCTCTCTGCATTCTACAGTAAGCCAATCTGCAATAGAGCAACTTATTTATGACATGGGACTTTTAGTCGGTAACAAGTTCTCATTTATGGGATTAGGTATCTGGAGAGTTGGGATTTATGACTGTCCCTATAGGTAGTCCTTGACTTATGATCACCATTGAGCTCCAAATTTCTATTGTTAAATGAGACCGTTGTTAAGTGAATTTTGTATGTACCACTGTTGCAGAAAAGTGGCCCAGCCTCGCTTTTTTGAACTGCTAAGTGCTCATCCTTTCCAGTTAGAGTCAGTGTGGTCTAGTGGTTAAAGGCACAATGCTATTAAATGCTGCTCCAGATGTTTTGGGATGGTACTCAAGGTGCCCTTCGTTATTGGTACTATCTGTCCTTTCTTTGGCCACAGTCATTCTACAGGCAGGTTTTTAGCAGGGGTGGCCTTGAAAAATTTTAGCAACAGGTTCTCTGCCTGGTTGTTGGGTGGGCGTGGCCATGGTGGGCGTGGCCAAATCGGCCTCCTGCACCACGGCTGTGGCGGGGAGGCATCTTTGCCCTCCCTGGGCTCCAGAGGCTTCCCTTGAGCCTCTGTGAGGACAAAAATGGCTTCCCAGGGCTTCGGAGGCTCTCTGGAAGCCAGAAACGGGCCTGCTTCCGGCCTTCCCGAAATTTCAGGAGGCCCGTTTTTCATCCTCCCCGAGCCTCCCCACATGACCTGCATTTGCCTGCATCCAAAATGGGCCACATGGGGACTCCTGGGAGGGGAGGGGCAGGATAGGCGGGGCCCGCCAGGTGTGGGATTTGGGGGTTCTCAGAACTGTACAGAATCTTAGCTCAAGGATCCCCTGAACCCCTGCGAACCCCCAGCAGCCCACCCTTCAGCTTTGGTTTATGTCACATTTAAGCCCAAAATTTATGCTGCTAAGCGAGAAAATTGTTAGGTGAATTTTGCCCCGTTTTACGACCTTTCTTTCCAGATTTGTTAGGTGAATCACTACAGTTGTTAAGTTAGTAACCCGGTTGTTAAGTGAATCTGGCTTCTCCGTTGACTTTGCTTGTCAGAAGGTCACAAAAGGTGATCCATCACATGACCCCAAGACACTGCAACCGTCATAAATACATGCCGGTTGCCAAGCATCTGAATTTTGATTATTGGGAATAATTCAACGATTGTGAAGTGTGAAAAAGTCACATTTTTTTGCAGTACCGTTGTAAGTTCAAACGGTCACTAAATGAAAAGTTCTACGTAAGTGAAGGGTTACCTGTATTTGCTGGGTCCAATGTTGAACCGGCATGAAAAATATGTGTCCTACCTCTGAACTATGCTCCCTCTTAAAGAAAGAACTGGTGTGCAAACTCAAAAATACATACAGGAAAGTAAGTTGCCTAGTTCTAAGTAAAATAGTATTTTAACCGAAATTCTACAGTTCTGGAGAAATCTCTGAACAGACTGTTTGCCTTTTCCAGCTTCTGACATTCAGGTCTTTTAGTGGGGAGTGTCTTGATAATTTTTCCACCCTCTGCTCAGGAATCATTCAGATTTTTGTTTTATCTTTTTGCCCAAGGAAAATGCAAGCAACGTGAAGTATGGATGTGAACGTCCAGGACAAGTAATCCCAACTGATAGGATTGTGGGGCTGCAGTGGGGAGGTGTTTTTTTTGTCATATTAATAACAGATCCCACCATCTTCCTCTGCTCACCCTTTTCCCTCCCCATCTTTCAGTTAGTATTTGCATTTTTATAGTATCTTACTTGTAGTGCTTGTAGCTGTTGTACAGTTTTATCTTTTTAATATTGTAAGCCACCCAGAGTTACCCTTTGGTAAGATGGGCGGCTAATACATTTAATAGTGAATAAATAAAAACATGGATTTTACAGGAAGTGGGGATGAAGGGGATTTTTGTTATTCCTGGATTGGTGGCAGCTCGGGAGGAAACACATATTCTGTTTTTGCTCTTCTTCTCAGACTTTTCAGTGTCAGCAGAAGAGAAGGGGATCATGGATCATCTTTAAACTGAGTTTGCAGGATTGGGGAGGGAAAACAGTAGCAATAGGAAAGAAAATCTGTAAAGATTCTCAGTCATCCAGGTCATGGTTTCCCAAAGATGCTTTTTTTCAGGAGGCAACTGGACTTTCTTGTTTTTTTTTCGTTTGAAGACGTTTTGCTTCTCATCCAAGAAGCTTTTTCAGCTCTGACAGGATAGTGGGGAATGGAAGGATTCATATTCCTTGCAGGCAGCTGGTCATTTGCATCCTTTTAGAGGGTCCTGGAAGAGCTTGGAGGTTTATCTGTGTCCTCAGGGTCACCTGAGTAGCGCTCCTGGTTCCTGTAGTCTGCAATTTTTCCCTCTGGAAATCCGTTCCTACTCCCACACCATTCAAAGGGTATTTCATGCCAAATTGTATAGCTAAAAGTCTGTAGAGATTCTCAGTCATCCAGAGTAGGAATGGATTTCCAGAGGAAACATTGCAGGCTACAGGAACCAGGAGCGCTACTCAGGTGACCCTGAGGACACAGATAAACCTCCAAGTGCTTCAACGACTCTTTAAAAAGGGTGCAAATGACCAGCTGTCTGCAAGGAATAGAAATCCTTCGGTTCCCCACTATCCTGTCAGAGCTGAAGAAGCTTCTTGGATGAGAACAAGAAAGTTCAGTTGCCTCCTGAAAAAGCACCTTTGGGACAATGTGAAAGAAACTATGGCGTTTCGTATCAGAGAGCTGCCTGGATTACACATAACATTAGCAAGTAAGTCGTGCAACCGGTGCTGAATTCGTACTCCAAACATCATTGAAACGAAAAGCAGATAGCCAGGACACATAACATTTACCTGGTGCAACAAAAAGACTCAGGCAACTAAGGCATTTTCTAGATTAGCCAAGATGGAACATGTTGACTTAGTAGACCCAGATGGCCAATACACTATATTCTTTTGTAACAGCCAAAATTGCTTCAGAGGGTGCAGTGGTTAGGAACAATGCTTCTCTCTCTTATTCCCAAGACAAAGTTTCCCTTTTTCTCTAAATTGCTTACTATTTTTAGCTTCTTCATTCTCTTCTTCCCCCCTCCCCCCCACCTTCTTTTTGCACTGGTCTAATTTATACCAGATGGATAGAAATTTCACTCCAATTAGTGTTCAGTGGAGAACATAACCAGACCTTAGATACCAATCCCCCCACCAAAAAAAAACCTGACTGGTACTGCAGAATGTGTCAATTTCTGATTAATGGATTGACAGTCTATCGTGAGGTCTCTGCTCTCTGAAAGTCAATTTTGAGACCGGCTGGGTAATCTTTAATTCTGTTTCATGAAGAATAACAGTAGGAGGACCACTGAAAATAAATCCAGATCAGAAGACAAATGTATTTAATGAGCCATATGATATATGAGCTTCCGTGGCGCAGTGGTTAGAGTGCTCTACTGCAGGCCACTTCTGCTGACTATCAGCTACCTGCAATTTGGCAGTTCTAATCCCACCAGGCTCAAGGTTGACTCAGCCTTCCATCCTTCCAAGATGGGTAAAATGAGGACCCAGATTATTGGGGGGGAATATGCTGACTCTGTAAAACTGCTTAGAGAAAGCTGTAAAGACTATAAAGTAGTATCTAAGTCTAGGTACTATATTGCTATATGCCACAGTGCAGAACACTTTTTAGAAACATAGTCTTTCAAATATATAAACATTCTCCAGCAAATGAAGAGAAGTTAGGGAGATTCGGAATACCGCATCCAGTTTTGGTCACCACAATATAAAAAAGATGTTGAGACTCTAGAAAGAGCGCAGAGACCAACAAAGATGATTAGGGATCTGGAGGGTAAAATATACCAAGAACAGTTTCAGGAATTGGGTATGTCTAATCTAATGAAAGAAGGACTTGGGGTGACATGTTAGCAGTATTCCAATATCTCAGGGGCTGCCACAAAGAAGAGGGAGTCAAGCTATTCTCCAAAGCACCTGAGGGCAGGAGGAGAAGCAATGGATGGAAACTAATCAAGGAGAGATGCAACCTAGAACTAAGGAGAAATTTCCTGAAAGTTAGAACAATTAATCAAGTGGAATGACTTGCCACCAGAAGTTGTGAGTGGAGGTTTTTAAGAAGAGATTGGACAACCACATGTCTGAAATAGTATAAGATTTCCTGCTTGAGGAGAAGGTTGGACTAGAAGATCTCCAAGATCCCTTCAATGTCTTTTATTCTGTTAGATGTCTCAGAATATACAGTATTTTCTTGAAGATATTTCCGAACATCTCTCTGCTGGTTCCTACTAAAAAGACGATGGGAGGACTGCTGTCCTTGGGATTTAATGCCAACCTAGGAAGCGAGGAAAGGTTCATATCTTTGGAGCGATGACTTAAAAGACAAGATCCCCGCACTATTGTAAGTAAGTAAAATGAGAACCGCCATTTCTATTTCAGGTGTCCTTTCTTCTCGGTGGGTAGACTCTAATGAATTTGAGTTTATGAACATGCTTATGATTCATTTAAACTTGCATCAAGGTTTATGCAGGAGTGGCCTTCAAAAATTTTAGCAAAGGGTTCTCTGCCCGGTTTCTGGGTGTGCGTGGCTATGGTGTGCGTGGCCTAGTCAGCCTTCTGCACCACAGCCATGGAGGGGGGAATGCTTTTGCCCTCCCCGGGTTCCGGAGGCTTTCTTCGAGCCTCTGGTAAGGCCAAAATGGCCTCCCTAGGTTCTGGAGGCTCGCTGGAAGCCAGAAACGGGCCCATTTCCGGCCTTCTCGAACTTTCGGGAGGCCCATTTTTTCACCCTCTCCGAGCCTCCACACACACCCTGCGCTTACCTGCATCCAAAACAGGCTGTGTGGGGACTTCTGAGAGGAGTGGGGCAGGTTGAGCAGGGTCAGCCAGAAGTGGGATTTGGGGGTTCTCCGAACTACACCGAATCTTAGCTAGGGGCTCTCCCGAACCCCTGCAAAACCCCCAGCAGCCCACCCCTGGCATTTATGCCTAAAATGCAGCGCATGGAAATGGAACATGAGGCAATCAGGCTCTGTTAGCCAAATCAGCCTTCTTTAATCTATTCAGAGACCTAGAGAAACATGAGGCTCAGTTTAGATCTTCACCAAGTAAAATTCAAATGCTTGAAAGTGAGGATCCGTGAAGAACGTTTGAATCATCAGACGACTCATTGCATGTTAGAACTGCTCTTCATTTGTGTGTGTGTGTGTGTGTGTGGAAGCCCTTGATTTATCCAGCCATCAGGCAAATTCCAACAGATTTATGTAGGCATTTTCTTTAGACATCCTCCGATTAAGCTGATAGGAGACGGGGTGGGCTCAAAATTGTGAATGGACTTTTAAGCTGTGGGTGCAACTGCACCGATGCCATACAACGTACACGGATACCGTAACAGTGGAGGGGGAAAGGTCAGTGGAGGGTTCCTGAAAATCAATGTAGCTTCTGTGAAGGAAACTGAATGCTGGTTTGTTTGGGGTAGGGAAAAGGCCTCGGGAAAGATTATTAAGGGACAAGGAGACTTTTGTGTTTCGAATGGATGAAAGGAAAGGAAAGTTTAGGAGGAAGGAAGTTTGAGAGACCAGGGAGACGGGAAAACAGGAAGAAAACAGGAGAAACTCCCACATCGAACTTGGAGAGAAGGAAGACCTGAAGTGATGTTCAGGGGGAAAGAGCCACGTGTCCCACACTCAAATGAGTCAAATCTTTGTCTGAAGGTGGCTTGTTTGCTTTTATGCTTACCAGAATATTGGTGTGTTTGCTGCACATTGACTTGTCCCCTTCTTTGGTCCTTATAATCTGGTGGTGGTCTTGTAAGGTGTCTATTCAGTTGATCTTGAGGGGTGCCTTTCTCCTACAGGAGGAAGAAAAAGAGAAAAGCATTCTCTATTTATTTATTATTCTGAAGATTTGAAAAGAATCACCTGACAGCATATAAGGTAAAGTTAAAGGTTCCCCTCACACATACGTGCTAGTCATTTCTGGCTCTAGGGGTCAGTGCTCATCTCCGTTACAAAGCCGAAGAGCCAGAGCTGTCCGAAGATGTCTCCGTGGTCATGTGGTCAGCATGACTAAATGCCGAAGGCACATGGAATGCTGTTACCTTCCCATCAAAGTGGTCCCTATTTTTCTACTTGCATTTTTTACGTGCTTTTGAACTGCTAGGTTGGCAGAAGCTGGGACAAGTAACGGGAGCTCACTCCATTATGTATTGCTAGGGATTCGAACTGCCAAACTGCCAACCTTTCTGATCAACAAGCTCAGTGTCTGAGCCACCACCACATTCTCTATTTATTTATTATTCTAGAGGTTTGAACAGAATCACCTGACAGCATATACATACATTCAAAGATGTATTCTCAAAGGATATCATACTCCATTGATGCAACAGAGGTGTTAAGAGTTTGCAGCAGAAATTCATGTATAGAAAACACACAGATGACTGATTCAGCAGGATCATTAACTTCTTTATAAACATATTAACATGTTGAAGTTAAGTTTACAATACCATTAATAGATTCTTTCAACCTAACATTAGCAAACACACAAGCAGCAGCTCAGAGCAGATATCAGTTTCAGCAAACAAGCAAGACTAGTTTCACTTTCAATTCTCAGCAAAGCACACAGAGCTAAACCACACCCAGGCTGTCAGCTCCCATTGGCTGGTCTGTTGTCATGCTAACTTTGTTAACCATGTCTCTGCCAGTTAATGAATATACTCTGACAAGAGGAGAAGCAGGTGGGGAGCTGTGGGATATTTATTAGAACACACTTCTCCAGCTTGATGTCCCTCAGAGTGGTTGGAATTAATTTTGGAAACTAACTTCTCAACAATGGAGGACAACAGGCTCCTGGGGAAGCTGGTAGAGATAACTGTAATTTCAGGTTATGAAATATGGAGACCCCACAGTTCAAGTGAAATATTTGTATATTGTTTGGGATGAAACAGATATTTAGGAACTGTTGCTGGGACATATCTGATATCTATGGAGATTCTCAATCTTCCAGGTCATGGTTGTCCCAAAGGTGCTTTTTCAAGAGGCAACTGGACTTTCTTGTTTTTATTTGAAGATGTTTCGCTTCTCATCCAAGAAGCTTCTTCCGCTCTGACGGGATGCATTCAGACGAGAATGCAACTGACCAGCTGCTTGCAAGAAGTATAATTCCTTCCATTCCACACCATCCAGCCAGAGCTGAAGAAGCTTCTTGGATTAGAAGCGAAATGTCTTCAAAGAAAAACCAGAAAGTTCAGTTGCCTCTTGAAAAAGCACCGTTGGGACGACAATATCTGATAGTTCTAAGAAAAGGCTATAAATTAATGCAGGCAACTTAAGTGATCTGGATGGAATAATAACTTTTCTTTCTTATGCCTCACTCTTCCTGCAGAAGAAAAGCATTTCCAGTCCAATTGGGCAGTTCTGGAAAGCACACCAAATTTTGCCTGAAGGGTGTGTGTGTGTGTGTGAGATCCTTGTTTGTCATCTGCCTGTGCTAAAAAGAAAATGGTACTTGCTGCACTGTATCAACTCTGTATCAACAATGATTTGATTGCAGACAAGGGTAGGAAATTTGTATTTTCATCCCCAAGGACCTGCTGTCCTTGGGGATAAAAATACAAACTTCCCACCCTTGTCTGCAATCATATCATTGCTGATTTCTGTACTGAGGTCCTTCTCTAATATTTTTACAGGTAGTCCTCACAGTCATATGGCACCCAGAATAAACCATGAGGATGGTCATAAGTCAAGGCACTCATGTGACCAGATCTGATTTTATGACTTTTTTGCAGTGATCTTTAAACAAAGCAATTTATTACTATGGGTGTTTTTTTCTGGAAACCTGCAAAAAATAACACTAGCACTTAAGACTTCTATACTACTTCACAGTGCTTTACGGCCCTCTCTAACCTGTTTCCAGAATTAGCCTATTGCCCCCAACAATCTGGGTACTCATTTTACCGACCTCGGTAGGATGGAAGGCTGAGTCAACCTTGAGCCAGTTAGAATCGAACTCCTGGCAGTGAGCAGTGAATTAGTCTGCAATAATGCATTCTAACCACTGTGCCACAATGTCATAAATCTCAGTTATGTGACCATGGAAGGCAACAACCAGTTGCAAAAGTGAGATAGTTGCCAAGTGCCCAAAATATAGTCATGTAACCAGGGGGATATGTGCAACTGTCAGAACTCCGGAAGCTGGGTTGTAAGTGCCTCGTGGGAAGGGCGGGGTAGACTCTATTGTAACTTTGAACAGTCACTAAGGGAGGACTATCTGCTGTTCCATGAATCATAAATTGTCAAGCTATGGTTCATCTGAAACAAACAAATAAAAATGTGAGGAGGGGTAAGGAAACGTTCAGTTCTAAAACTCAAAATATCTAAGGTTCCCCTAAAGACTAGTTGACCATCATCCTTCTACAATGACTTCAAGGTTTCAGAGAACCTTCTCAGCATCTGCTCCTGACCTAGCTAACTAGAGAAGACATGTGAACCTCTAATGTTCCCCATGGACAAGACATGTTCAACTTTCGTGCTCTTGCTTCAGAAGCACACGTATGGATTCTTCAGAACTGCTAGGCCTAGGAGTGCAATTTGGATTGGCCACCAAACTTCTCAAGGGCCAAACAATTCCAAATGAGTTGGGCAGTTTTTCCCCCTTACATTTCCTTTTTGGATCCTGGCAGGTAGTTTTACTGTGTCTACCCGAAAATAAGCCCTATCCCAAAAATAAGCCCTAGCTCGATTTTTTAAAACGTGCCTAATATAAGCCCTACCTCCAAAATAAGCACTAGTTAAGACCCCACCCACTCCCTCCCGTAGTCTGGTTGCATGAGGTGGGGCAAGACGTATGCGTAAAAGCTAGGGAAGGGGTGGGGGTTGGGATGAGCTGCCCCACACACCTCACACCTGCTTACCTTAGGACCACTGCAGCCAGACCTCCCAAGCCCCAACCGCATGGTGCCTGGCCATGAGCGGCCACAGAAGAAATGGGTGTTGTGGCATGGGAGGTGCAGTGGTCCTAAGGGAAGGGGTAAGACATCCCCAAAAAATAAGACCTGGTGCTTATTTTGGGGCCCAAAAGAAAATAAGACTGGGTCTTATTTTGGGGAAAACACGGGTATATAGAGCTAGAATAGAAAACTGGGATATTTACTGCTTCAGTTAATATTTGGTGCTGCTGCTGAAGGAGGAACTGTTGTTTCAGCTGCTGATTCAGCAATGCTTGTGGCGATGAGTTGATGTAGTTGGTTCCAGTGTTTGTATTTGTGCACGAGGAAGATCCTGGGTTGGTGCCTCCACTTTGATTCAAGACGGCATGTTGATTCTGGAACAGAAAGAAGGAAAGAAGGGATGAATCCAAAGAGGTACAAAGGTACAGACAAGCCAAAATGGAAAAGGGACCCTATCTTCTTGGAAGGGGATCAAAAGAAAGATTCTTCTGTTATAAGTTGTGGTGTCTACTGGAAGAACTTGACCAAAGCATAGTTTGAAAAAAAAAATTAAGGCTATCCTTGCATGTGAAATGAAAATCTTGAAGCTCAAAGAAATAGCAATAGCACTTAAACTTATATACCGCTTTACAGTGCTTTACAGGCCTCTCTAAGTGGTTTACGGAGTCAGCCTATTGCCCCCAACAATCTGGGTCCTCATTTTACTGACCTCAGAAGGATGGACGGCTGAGTCAACCTGGAGACGGTCAGGATCAAACTCCTGGCTGTCGGCTGAATTGTCCTGGGAACTATGAGGAACTACACGTCATAAGAGCTAGTAGTTGATCATGGAACATCAGCTATCGCTACAGATATAATTATGCAGTTGTAACATTTTATTCCTTTATCCTACTGTTTTGGGATGGGAGGGACATACTATTTTTCTATCAGTTAACTCCATTTTCACTTGATCTCATTATAGGTCGACTTATTTTGTCTCTCCATAAATGTTTACCACATTTTTATATGGCATTGAACAAGCAAAACAGTAGCTCTGATCTTGGACATGAAGGCAGATAAGTCTAATGGCCAATGCCACCAGAGGGTAGATATCTTTCTTATTTGATCTCACACCACATTTTCTTCCACATGCAGGTTCCACATGCAGGTTTTTTGATCACACATTTTGTTATATTAAATATTGCTTTGAAAAGCTGGTCAGTTGGACAATAAATCGTTTATCTAATTTATCCCTGAAGTAAATTTTGCACATGAAAATTTGGGAAACTGCCACAGTAAGGAATGGGGGGGGGAAAAAAACAACCTTTGCACGAATTGTGATGGGTGGCCCATGTCTTATTTACTGAGGTAAATAAAGGTTAATGGAGCCAGTTCATCTCTGATATACAATGCGTTCTTCAAATTTTGTTTTTATATCGAATATTTAAGCTTTCTATCTTCCTCCTTGGTAAAATGATGTGTCTTCTCTTTGGTTCTATTTCTTTTCAGAATAAAGGTTGGAAAAAAGAATTGGAAATTGTAGGCACATATAGCTCTCTCTGTGTGAAATCAGAATGGCTGGCTTCTTTCTTTTTTAGACACCATTGTGGCCAAGAAACAAAACCAAGGACTACATGATGTATTTAACCTGATGTAAACTGAGGCTAGGAATTTCCATGTTCCCATCAAATTCTAGGCAATTATCAAGACCAGAGTTTCAGATTAAACTAGCCACTCACCCAGGAAGTTATAATTTAGTTCCTGCCCATTGCTCTTTCTGAATTCCACTCATTCATTATTTATTTTATGTGTGGGTAAGCATTATTGCCCAATTCTTCTGTCAAAAAGCTAATTAGGGCAGTTTATGAGAATGTAAAACGAAGCAATATAATTTGGGAGCAAATCACCAATAAAATGGTGCAGCCAAGGGATTAAAAATCTTTTCACAAAGAACCAAAGAGCAGTTGGAGAAGGTAAGGTAAACCCTCCTCTGAGTCTCACAGGTGCTTTTTTTTTTCTTTTCCAAAAGGCAACATGACTTTCTTGGTGTTTTCCTTTGAAGACTTTCACTTCAAAGAAAACACTAAGGAAGTCCAGTTGCCTTTTGAAAAAAGCACCTTTAAGACAACCGTGACCTGGATGACTGAAAATCTCCACACAGACATCGCCTCTGAGTCAAACTTGACCCTTAACAACTTCATGGACATAACCATAATTTTCTCAGCAACCATAGACAAATGGCTTGACACTGCCACCTTCTGGGATTTCTCCCCCCAACTTTTCAGGCTAGTGTACCGTGCTGGGACTTCCTAGTTGAATTTCTAATCCAATACCAACCATTTACAATCCTGTGTAGCTTTTTAAACATCAGCCAAACTCAAAGCAATCTTCATTGGTTGTTTAATGTCAAAATGTCAAGATATGTCCCTATGACTATTATTAAGTGTTGAACCTGATGATTCTTGACTCTTGACTAATGTATCTTTTATTTTATGTACACTGACAGCATCTGCACCAAGACAAATTCCTTGGGTGTCGAATCACACTTGGCCAATAAAGAATTCTATTCTATTCTATTCTATTCTATTCTATTCTATTCTATTCTATTCTATTCTATTCTATTCTATTCTATTCTATTCTATTCTATTCTATTCTATATGGACTAGGTGGACATTCTCACCACTACTGTAAGAAAGTCTATATTGATTATTTGATTTATCTCATCTGAAGACAGAGCACTTAAATTAAAAGGAAGATCCCATCTACCCATCCATCTTTCCAGGTGACATTAACACCACTTTCAGTCTATAGCACATGGGTGTCAAATTGCCACGTCATGTGACATTTTCTGATGTTTCCCTCATTTACGGAGCTGGGGTGGGTGTGGCCTGCCCGTGATGTATCCGGCCTGCAGGCTGCCCGTTGGACACCCCTGCAGATCAACAAGCCAACCTAATTCTAACCCTAACCCTATTGTGAAGTATCCTCAGAACAAGGCATTATGAGATATTCACAGTCCTCTCTCTATAGGCAGTTATCATGGCCTACTAATAATTAAAGTATAATGCTCAGCTCTCGGATAGGTAAAAATTCAGAACGTGATTAAACAACCAGATGTTTAGTATTATTTGTAAACATAGAATAGAATAGAAGAATTCTTTCTTGGCCAAGTGTGATTGGACAAACAAGGAATTTGTCTTTGGTGCATATGCTCTCTGTGTACATAAAGAAAAAAATAAAATACAATCATCAAGAATCATAAGATACAACACTTAGTGATAGTCATAGGTTACTAATAAGCAATCAAATCACACTAGGAAACAAATAAAAAAATATAAAATTGTAAAGATACAGGCAACACGGTTATAGGCAACACGATCAAGTTTTTTTTTAACACGAACAAAGGGCGACAGTGATTTGTGTCTAATTTGTTTCTTCATGTGCTCAGTGTAGTCTCCTGCTGAGGCAGTCTGGAGTATTTCCTGTCTCGGCTATGGAGTGCTCATGGGTGATCAGATGGGGCAGTCTTCTTAAATATGTCCACATAATGTCTCCCAAGTACAGATGTTGGAATCCTATAGGCCAGTGTTTCTAAATCTCAAGTGAATTTTAGATGCCGGCTGGGGAATTCTGGGAATTGAAGTCCATGCATCTTGAAGCTGCCAAGGTTGACAAACGCTGCCCTTCTGTGGGAAGGCAATGGGGTGTAAAATATTTTATAAGGATTGATGCAAAGAGGAAAATATGAGAGCTGTGGTTCTTGAGAATACGTAGGTGTGAATGCCTGTGCGTCCATGTGCAACTGACAAAACCCTTTGTCATTTTTGCTATGGATAAATTCTTCCAGGGAGGCCAAAAATGTAGCTGTTTATTATTATTTTTCATTCTTTCTTAGGCTGTCAGAAAATTATCTCCTTCTACCTTACAGCAAATAAATAAATAAAAAAGGTCTGATTTAATACATGCTTGGTTGCTGATTGTGTTGCCTGGAAAGATTTGGAAATATTATCCCCCTTTTCCGCCTCCCCCTTTCATTCACTCAAACCACAGCTATGCATGTCAGAGATTTCTCATTCTTTTCATGCTTAGGGTCTGACAATAAGATCCTATCCTCATATTGCCTTGGCGCAGTCAACCTCAATTTATTCCCCTTTCCTAGCTGGGGAGCCATTCATATGGGAGAAGACCATTCAGAACAACAACACTGGGAACATTTTAACTGTTTCTTTAGCTTTTGCTTCAAATGCCTCTTCTCCCCCCCCCCCCCCGGTTAAAAAAATGTTTTGTTTATCTTGGTTTCTTGCAGAAGTCACAAATGCCTGGAATTGGGAATTGTGATAAACCATAAAGCAGGCAAAGATTGCTGTTTGGGGTGTGCAGCTACTGTTGGCTCAAGGATTGGAGGCTAAAACATAAAAAGAACGGTTGCCAGAATTGGGTATGTCTAATACTAATAAAAAGAAGGGCTAGGATGACATGATAGCAGTCTTTCAATATGTATGAGGCTGCCCCAAAGAAGAGGGAGCCAAGCTATTCTCCAAAGCACCTGAAGGCAGAACAAGAAGCAATGGATGGGAACTAAGGAAGGAGAGAACCCACCTAGAAATAAGGGGAAAAATATCCTGACGGTAAAACAATCAGGGCAATGGTTTTCCTCCATAAGTCGTGGGTGCTCCATCACTGGAGATTTTTAAGAAGAGATTGGACAACCATTTGCCTGAAAATAGTATAAGGTCTCCTGCTTGAACATGGGGGTTGGACTAGAAGACCTCCAAGGTCCCTTCCAACTCTGTTGTTCTGTTAAGGACCATTATCAGACATAAGAAAATTTGTGCTCCAAAACTAAGTGGAGGGCCAGGGTTCCAAGTGGACCTGAATTTGGAGAGTTGGTATAAAACAGAAAGTACAGTAGACCTGGGTTGTTGCTAAAACAAGGAAACTACTAAGTGGCAGAAAAGAATTAAAGGCCTCCATAACTCTCTGTTATCACCTAACAATTTATCCTTCAATGTCACAAAGGAGTTTTTCCTTCTTAAAATATCCCAAAATGGCTCGACTATATTGCCTACACGTATTTTTTTGGGGAGGGGTGGGGAGGGAATATGGTAATATATAAGAGGTGCTAGTATTTTGCAGATGGCCCATGTGCTCCCTTCTTTGCATCCTAGTTTCAGGTAGTCTAACGCTGAAGTCCATACTGTGAAAAGCAGAATGATGAAGTTACCTACAGTAGTTGGGTAATGAAACATCTACAAGAAGACAATCAAGCTGAGAGAACACCAAGGATTCCACAACCTTTCTATTTTCTGCTTGAATGACCCACAGACAAGCCAGCCAACAAGAATAGGAAGGCCAAGAAGGAGAGGGATGACCATCAGGTCTTGCTATGATCATC